ATGGTTCAGAACTATTGACTGGTTGGCGATCCTCAACAGGAAAGTGGAAGCTGCATACCGGCCAAAGTACGAAAAACCTGGAGATACTACAAACTTTGGAAATATTGGCTGGATACCCCCGAGAATAGCGAAAGAGGATAAGTTCAGAGAAGTATTTGCTGGTTTTTGAACTGTTCAGCCATACATACCTATATACTTCCAAAAGCAGGTATAGTTTGGATCATCATTGCAAAGAGAAAAAGGGTTTTGTGTTTTTAATTAGTTACAATCAATTATGTAAAATCCTTATAACTTATTTGCCTTTTACCTTATAAGTGGATTGTGGTGAATCACACTATACCACCCTTCGGCCTTCCAACAATCACTAACACGTGTACCTATTATTTATTGATGGTTGTTGCTATAATACAGCAGGACCATTAAATGGTTACTTTTGTTTTCTTTTCAATTAAAGTGCTTATTAATCTCATGAATTTGTCAAAGGACCTTTGCAGTTGATTGAATAAAATGGGTTGAAAAATACAAAAGGGTGGAGTTAAAAAATTTGAATTTGAGAGAAATGCATAAAAAATGTCACAAGAGTTTATTTTTTCAACAAATTATTTTTATAGATTTCATGTAGAAAACATGTAGATTCTCATAACCATATAAGACAGATAATCCTAGAATTTTATATAAAATGACAATGTCACTTGGTTATGTGTAAATAAAACTACAGTACCTTTATCTACAGTGTGTGGCAAGTATATTTAGAGGCGAACAATAAGAATATTCAATTACAGAGAGAATATTAAATTATATGTTTTGTAAAAGACTATAGTTATTTGTGCAACTAGTGAGAAAAGTGAGCAATTGACTCACTCGAGAGAAATCCTTACTCACGAGCCGTAGGCGAGTGAGGAATGGTTTCTCGAGTGAGGCAATTGTACTTTGAACTCGAGTTGCACATTATACTTTTCCTACAGTTACCATAAAACAAATAAATTGGTAAAGAAACATAACCTATTTTTACACAGAAGTGAACTTTTAATATAACATTTAACGTGAAGTGACAAATACAACAGTACAACAGCTGACCAGCTGATTTACAGCCAGTGCTGCCAACGTATTTCGCGCGCATACGTCGTTGCCTGCATGTTACGCGCTCACTATTTCGTGCCTTCACGTTGCAAATCTGGAGTGAGACAAAGTAATTAGAGTGAGACAATGTTAACATTGTCTCACTGGTGAGCGAATTGGCCACTTTGCTTTCTCAAATCAGTGAGAGAACATGTACATTGTTAGGTAACTGTAGGAAAAAGGCATATTCTTCTGTTTGGAGCGGGTGCCATAAAAGTTAAAAACTGCAGCAAGAGAACAGAATACTGTGTTTAACACAGAGGTAGGCCAATGATGATGGCATCAGACTGTTCTGGCCCGGCTGTTATAATCACAGCTATAGGGTGATTCAAAATTCTTGATTGATCTGCTTGAAATGCAGTGTATTTGTATTTTTCCTTTTGCCTTGGAAATTGACAGAGGAGTGAAAAATTAAAAACGTACGTTTTTATGTCCCTGGCCTTTTACTTCGTAGATACTGGATTTGTAGTTTATTATTATTATGTGTTTTAATATTTTTTGTTGGACGGGGGCAACATGCTACACACATTTATTTGGTTTTAAATAGGTTCTAGGTATTTTTTTCGTATTTTTAAAGTCTCGAAATTCACGACCATGACGTGTCCCTACGGTACATTTTCCAACTTTCACGCTGTTTTTAGACTAATTATTCATGTCGAAATATATAAAGCCATTTTTATGTCATCAACAGTTATTAAACTTACAAAAAAGGAGCATATTATAATTTTATTGTCATTGCAAACTGACTACAATGACAAAATAAGTCTGTCCCTCGATTTGGCGTCACGACCATTTGGGAAAAATTTGCAACTTTGGAGCACGACTGGCAAGCCTGACGTCGATTGCGTCAGTTCGTTTTAGATACTAGTTCGGGGTGTACGTCAAGTTTGATGTGCCGGTCGTTTTGTGTTGAAAGAAGTAGTTACAAGATTAATAAAGGTAAGTTTGTGTTTTTTGTAATTTTGATGTGTTCATGACCATACATAGTCATTTGATGAAGTAGTCGTTTTAATTTTTGTTGATATGATATTTCAATTGCTACATTAACCTAGAATTCCACTTTGTATCCTCGAACATGAGGTGCAGGGCTACCGCCAGAACAGAGCCAAATAACATGTAATGTCACGACCAAAGTTTCACGACCATCGCGGGTTTTTTCACTACCAGAATCCAGCCTTATGGATTATACTGTGTTTGGTCGTGACAATAACTTAAATATCATTGTAAATTGAACAGTTTAGTTCAATTGAAACACACATATTTTTATTATAACTAACAGTATAATTTAAGGATTGTTTAGAAAGATTTAGATTATTCCAGACAATTCGCTTGTCCCTGATCACGTTGATGATTTCTATCATAAAAAAAATTATCATATTTCAATGTTTTATACACAAAAAAAGCACACCTCTATAAAACATAATGATTTTTCGGGTCTCAGGTAAGTTTTTTCGGAGTTATACAAACTAAAAAGATTTTATTGGCTTTTTAAAAAATTTTTTGGTTTTTTATTTTTTTCTAGAAAGACCAAATATACCAAAAGCTTAGGGAGCTGTTTATTGTATAATGGCCATAAAAGTAAATTAATTTATAGCAAAACATAGTTATACAAATAATATTAACTACTAGTGCACCTGTTGCTCGAATTATTCGATCAATTGCAAAGTATTGGCGTTATTTCAAGACGAACAACAGTCATAATTTCCGACGACTTAAAAATGTCATAGATAAAACATAGTCATCAATCCCCTCCAGTTATCAAAACTGAAAACGAATGCCCTTGTGTGTATCATGTGTTTACCATGAACAGCTGTAATTAATACAAATTATTCGTCTGTTTAAGTAAACAAAATCCTTTCTTCATAAGAAATACATTGGGATTTTGATGGCCTGTGGAACAAAGCCCGAAGAACTTTTATTACAGGAATTGGTGAAAGGGGTCTATACAAAAAATACTTAATTTTGACACATCGTTTGTAAAAATCTGTCCATTATTAACGGAGGAGTAGTGTTTTGTAGAAATCACCTTCACATATTATATATAAGGATTTTTAAATATTCAGTTTTATCTCCATGATGGTCGTGACAAAATTTCGTGTTTTTCCATCAAAGATGCTCTATTTATAAAAAATCACCAAAGATATTGCATTACCATGAATAATTTATGAAACTTCAAATGACAATGAAATAAAGAAAAAGAAAAAAGTTTCAAAAAACGGAACAAAAACTTTTAAAAGTGCTTTTCCTGAAAACGTACGTTTTTAAATTTTCACTCAGAGTACAAGCTGCAGCAGTAGATAGACTCTGGAGACTCAGCAAGCATATATAGAGGACTGTTTTGGTGGGAGTGATTTTGTTGGATGGTGGAAATCCATTCTCTTTTCATCTGCGATCTGATCACTTTAGGTTGTTCCCTGTCACCAAGAAATTGCTGATTTCTAATGGTTTCAAATTAAATTATAAATAGGCAAATGTTAATCAAATAAAAAATAGGTTTTTATCCCTTATAGATCATCTTAACTTGTTCAGTGATAAGACGATCTACAGTAATTAATTATTTATTTGATTTATAGTACAGTAACTGTAGGAAGAATATAATGTGTAACACAAGTGCAAACAAACTTTGCTGCACTTGAGAAACTTTCCACACTCGCCTATGGCTGGTGCGTAACATTTATCTTATTCTTATGTACAGCAAAGTGCCACTTCACCCACTAGTTACACAAATAATAACTATTAAAATAAAAATGAGATATTTTTACTTGGTATTGGTGGAAATTGTTTTAGTTAGTAGAGTTTTTTTATATTTTATCTTTTGTACATTTCATTGTAAACTTGACCATTCCAATACAATGTAATTTTGTAATTCTGGAATAAAGAACTTATGAGTTAGGAATATAAAACATATTGAAGTTCAATGTGGTGTAATCTACGACTAACATAAGTACGTACCCAAAGTAATAATTTGTATCTGACATTTGAATACATTAATTAAGTAATATATTTTAATTTAGGTGTTCACGTAATAGGGCTGCCGATATATTAAATTATAGTAATAACAAAGTACAACTGAGCACCCTGAAAATTGTTTTTTTAGTAGAAGCTTAAAACATAATATTTAGGGTGCTAAGTTGTACTTTTTATTACTATCCTACTAATATTATAAATGAGAAAGTTTAGATGTATGGATGTATGGATGTATGGATGTATGTTTGTGACAAGTGAATGCGAAAAATACTGGTCGGATTGGGCAGAAATTTGGCATGATGATAGCTCACATTCCCGATTAACATATAGGCATATTCTTATTTCAAAAATCCTTTCGGGCTCCGCCCCAGTGGCTCTGGAGTTTCCCATGTTAACCTTATGAGAAATGAAATTATTGAATCTTAACAGCTGTTTCAATTAAACAAGTTGGTTCTGTTCTGTGATGTTCAATAGCATTAAAGTTACAAAAATTACCAACAGGGTGCAGCACTATTATTTCTTTTACATTTATGACAACAGCTAATTCGCAACCAAAAGGTGAGTGAGCGTAGCGAACGAACTTCAACCTGGAGGCGAGTTAGCGTAGCGAACGAGCTAACCTGAAGGCAAGTGAGCGCAGCGAACGAGCTCCAACCTAAAGGTGAGTGAGCGTAGCGAACAAACTTCAACCAGGACGTGATTGAGCCATGCGAACGAGATAATCTTGAAAATTAAGAAGTTAAACGGGGCAAAGCCCGCGGGTTACAGCTAGTAATTTAATAATTAAGTATAGTACATATTGTAAAAATTTGAGTTCCTGGTCTGCTGTGGCGAGCCGGCGAAAAAAGATCAGCTGATATTAGTCAGATTTGTTGTGTATATGTTTTTCTTTTTGCAATTGTCACTATTGTCAGTTTATACTTTATTGTCGTCTGTTTGCACCGCTTGTCCTGCCCTAGTTCACAATAAACAATCTGGTAAAAATTTGTTTTACATTAAGATATTTGTTTGTTTGTATTGATAACATAATATTAATGTGAGAAAATAAATAACTAGCCCAGACTTTACATTTTGTAATTTAAACCATGCCTTAGCTGAACATTTCGTTTATTATGATTGAATTTGCTACCGTATGGCACTTATGCGGTTGAATTTTGAATTTGATTCGTTTTAAAATTAGAGTTAGTTAGGAGGTCATGTTGTAGCCTTAACTTTGATATAGGTCGGCAAAGTAGCTTATTAAGATTCCCGTGCCCGTCCCAAACTGTAATTAACTAGACCTTGGTCTTAGAAAATATACCAGGTTTTTATCATAGAATTTGTAAACATATGTTTCCTTCAATTAAGCACAACATTCAGGGTTCATGGAGCTATACAAAGTCAGGGATAAAAATGGTTTAGACATTTCGAAGTTGTCATCTCTCAAAATCATTTAGCCCCGTTTAATACTCCTAATATGCTATGGACTGTCTTCAGATTAAAACCAAATTATAAACATGAAGATAGGTACCTACATAAAAATGCATTGACCATACCATAGGCTTAGCCTCTTCTAATGTAAGGCCATAGCTTTGATGTGTGGCAATATCATACTGGCCGGCCTATTGCAATGGTAATACCAAAAACAATAACCAACGTGTAAACATAATTATTGTGCAGCCGCTCCATTATGGATTAGTGCTAGCCTACAGCTAATTCGGTTGGCTGAGACTACAGTGTTGCAACTTAAGTCTCGCCACCGTTCTGTATTAGAGAAGGCTATGACTGTGCTGTTGTCTAGGTTGTAATAAATGACATGTGCCGGAGGTGATGGCATCAATAAACTGTCTCTTTGCAAAGTCAATCTCAGCCTATTTGAAGTGTGTGGAATCAGTTAAACTTACCTAAGTTACTCACTTCTTTGAATATAATCTGAAATATTTACAAAAAAGTGCCAATGTCAGGGAAAAAACGTGATCTAGACAATTTAGAGAAACATCAGTATATTTGGTTGTACCATGCCTAAATTCATCACCTTAAATTAAGCATCTTACTTTTTTGTAATGATTGTAAAAACTAGCAAACCTACCTAGCTTAACTTAGTAAGTTGTAAAGAGCAGCTGTTCACTATACAATAAGCTACATTGTCTTAGTCTTGAGGCTGCGATCTACCCGTCTGGCAAATGCAAGGGTTTTAATTCTTACTGTTTGTAGACCCAATTATGAACTGATTTAAAAGATCTTGGTGTCATATTTTTTGTTAAATATTATTGTGGTTTTGCTGTTTTTTTTTTAATTTTGATAGCCTAACTTAAAAAAATGTTGGTCAAAATGTTAAAATACACAGCCGCATGACTGATCTGGGATCTGACCACGCTTATAAGATTTACATTTGTTTCAGTAAACAAATACCGATACTGTGATAGGCCCTAACTTAAAGGCAATCAAATTACAGAAATATGAATAGTAAGTCTACAAATTACATAATTTAAGTTTAGGCCTATGTTAAAGAGAAAGGCAAGTAATACAGTTAGGCCAATAGCCAAATAATAAAAAAGTATTTTCTTCCCTATGAACCTTTATAAAATTGCTAGCCTATATTAAAAATATTGTTTTTCAGAGATATTATGGGATATGAATCAGAAATTGATAGTGATGCTCCTCCTCCCATCCAAGGAACAAGTCACTCCTCTGAAAGGCTATCTGCGGATCCTGATTTAAGGTAAGTAAGGTAATATAATTTAAATGAACAGAAACAGTTTGAACGTCTTTTGCAACATAACATGAAAAGCCCGAAAAATTCTAGATAGGCCTAGTTCTCCATCTCATCAGAAAAGTATGATTCATTTATAAGGTTAATGTACTTTATAGAGTATTTTTACTTTCCAATGAGAATTAAAATTTTTTATGAAAAGGAAACATGCATAGTCATTACGGAAGCTTTCTTCCATTATTGCATATTATAATTAATTAAACTTAAAAAAAACAAAAACTATTAATAATTAGGTTTTCAAGCATGATTTTTCTTAGAACCAGTCTACTCAGTAAACATTAAACAGTTCACTGTTAGTGTAGGTTTTTTCATTGTAGGTTCCAGTACCTGTCTCACTATCTAATGGTGATGGTAGATTACATAACTTAGTGTTGAGTAAGCCTGGTATAACAGATTGTGGTACCGTAGTTTACTTTTTAGTTCAGAATATGACTCTTAAACATACCACCAATATGTAGGTAACCACTTGTTTCATTTTGTTTTTTAATATTACATTTTATATAATAAGTTGAGTTGAAATGTTTATTTTTGTCTACAGACTTCCCCTTTCAACTGAGACTGATTGGTTCTCCAAGCGTTATTTGATTGCGTTCCTTGCTTTCTTTGGGTTCGCCAATATTTATGCTCTCCGGGTTAACCTCAGTGTTGCCATCGTTGTGATGACTTCAAACTACACAGTTGAAACTCCCGATGGCCCCAAAGTTATTGTAAGTATTCTAAAATGTATATGTTATATGCTGTATTTGCCAACATTAATTTCTGTACTGTATTTCTTTTATTTATGCACATAAAAATTCAATGTTTGGTATTTTACATATTTTATGTCCAATAGATTCATTTTGCATCCACCTATTGAATCACAATTCTTTTAACTAATCTTATTTATCTAAATACCTATAGACCTATGTCTAGGTTTATGCCTTGTGCCTAGCCAGTGTGTTATATTTGTTCATTAAATCTATTGCTTGATCTCTTAATTTTCTAAATAAATCAGACTCCAACATCTTTTATCATAATTATAAATATAATTATAATAATGATTATTAATTTATAGTAAACTATGAGACACATAACTGCATCACATATGTCAATATGAAAACAAAACAGTCAATGTTAATCTATAAAGCTTCCAAGGGCCGATATACTGTCACAATAATCATATGACTGAACTTCCACTAACAACTAATTAATGTGAGTTCAACCCATAGAACCGGCTAAAACCGACTCGATATATTCTGGATTCTTGAAGGCCATCTTGAAACAACATTTCATCTTTGGGTTTTTGGTTGACCAGTCTTGCTAGCATAGACGACAGTACAGTATGTACCTGATCAATTGTCAAGACGTCTCCGCTAGGATACACCACCATGGATAGAGGGTTTGGATCCCATCTCAGTTTTAAGTATAATGTGAATTCATGAGCAGTTTACCTGTCCATGCAGCGCTGGATTTAGGGTACCGGCCCTAAGCCAAACTAACCCAAGCCGCCTCCGCCCCTTCGTTCTTTCCCGGAACTTTCCCTCGTTCTTGGCAAAATCTTGAACATCTCCTGCGATCTCGGGACCATTGTTATGGTCACCCTCGATCAGGGGACATCGTCATCCCATGATTGTGTCAAAATCGTGAACATCTCCCAGTCTCTGCGATCACAGGGACATCTTTGTTACCAGCAATTGTGGCCAATTACAAAGTTTAGGAAATAAGTCAATTTTTACTATTGGATGGACTGGAGGGTGAAAGTTGACACGTGGGGTGGGTTTGTTGTGAGTTGCGCCTCTAATTAGGGATCTTGGTATTTTTTGCTGAACTTACTGAACTTGCACTAGGTTTTTTGTATAGGTAACTAATTTGGATCTTTGTTCTCATTTAAGAATAAGGGAAAATAATAATAAATAGTAAAATAATAAAAGCACGCTGTTTTGTGTTGTTTGGTTAGTAAACTTTTGTGCGCCAAAGTAAGTCTTTCTGTACTATAATCTGTGCAAGGAAGCTTCTTTGTCGGGTGACTATAGGAAAATAATATTTTGCACAAAACAATTGCTTGAGTTAAAAGTATGATTTGCCTTGAAGAAGATTAAATGCAAAAAGAAATTTCAGTTGAGATCTCCAGGATTACATTATAGCAGATTTATTTTTTTTATACAACAGATTTAAACAAAATTAAATTTTCAATTTGCATCCATTGTTTTCAGCCTGCTGAGTTTGACTGGGACAGACAGACACAGGGAACAATATTAAGTTCATTCTTCTATGGCTACATTTTAACACAGGTAAATAATTTTATCTTATTTATAAATAACAAGAAATGGCTTTTGACTGAATAAGCCGATTCAATTTCACTTTTAGAAACACTTGTGTCATTCTTCTTTACACAATGATTGCATAATTCATAATTCCACACCAACCCTAAATAACAAACATCCACCCCTACTACTTTTGTGTTTTGTATTTGTCTCGTAAAGCAACTATTTCATTTGAGTATGCCTAGTAGCCCGTTTTCATAAGAATGTGATGATGACACCACAAGTGCAACAAAACTGCTAATCCATAGGATGAACGCAGTATTTCCTGACGGGATAAGATGTAATAGGCCTAACTTTTTTCACTAGTAAATTTTTTATGCCTTGGATGTTTACCCAGCCATCCTTGATTATATCTGCTAAAAATAAGCTATACACAATATACAGGTCATCTCATTCAATTTTACATCTTGCATCCATAGTCTCAAAATTTTCTAAAAGAATAGTCACAGATTTTGACTTTTAAAGATATTCTTTTGTAGAAAACACTATGAAAATTGTAAACGTATTTCCTTTATCTGTTTACTCTTGGTATCAATCACAAAGTGAGTTTTGGTGGTGATGGCTACAGAGATTCTGCTGTATCTGCCATTGATTATACTGAATGTTAGATTAAATTGGATTTGTAAAAAACTGACACAGCAAGCTGAGTATTTTGACAGGAAGATTATTGAGGGATGAGTAAGTTTTTCTACAATCTGAGATCAGCTGCTTTTCAAACCAGAAACATTTAAAACCTAATGATCTTTAAACTAGTATATTTTATTTTCACCATATTCTGATAATTCGTACCACAATGTTACCATAGTTTGACACTCGTACCATCATGATACCACAATCTCTGTTTATGTTGGTAATATGTAAAATCAGGTGATGTTTCAAATAAAGAAGCTCATGGCTATTCCCATGACGTCACATCACGCCACCATCACACCACCTGTTCAAACACAGCCAAAATCCCCTCTCCTCATGTCAGTCTACACCATGTCTTAGACCAGTAAACACCATGTACCCTTTGCAGCCCTATGAGCAGTTAATATGTAATCAGTGATCGTTATTTACTACACCCATCCCTGACTCCCGACGTACAGTACAAATGACAACGTACTGTACATATTAAAAAAAATATCTATAAGTTGATATTTGTTTTCGTAACAAAGAGTACGATATCACAGGTTTTAGGACTTTCTTTAAAATAGCCACCAACGATAAAAAATCATCACTCAACATTTTAGGCCAATCGACTAAGCAGTAAAAAATCTGGGAAATCTCATATTCCTTCAGTAAAAATGTGTTATGGTTCCAGTAACATTTGAAATCCTTTTTTAAGATTTTGTGCTTTTGAAAGTGATGCAAGGCTAAATTAGTAGCTTAACTCATACCAGGCAGCCAAGAAGAATATATATCCGTTTTAACTGTCTGGCGGGAATCACGTAAATCATTTGGTTTTTCATAATAATTTTGAATCATCAAAACGCTACTGACTTTCAAGGATTAAACCAAAACCCTTTTGAATAGGCAATCACTATATAACCAGCTACCCAAACCATGTGATCTGTCTCCAGGTGTTGGGAGGGTGGTTGGCCTGTCAGTATGGTGGCGTCAGACTGTTTGGCATGGGAGTGTTAACCACTGCAGCCCTTACTCTACTAACTCCCCTGGCCGCCAAGATGCACGTCTACCTCCTCATCCTCGTTAGAATATTGGAGGGCATGTTTGAGGTAGGAAAATAATATGGGTCTACAGGTCCCGGATATTTCCAAGTCTACAGGCCTGAGGAAGTAAGTGGAAGGTTGGCCGGAAATTTCAGACCAAGCTATGTGACTAGCTAGAATTTTAAAGCCGAGCCCAAGTTTTACTCTTCCGATCGCTGGAAGCGTCTATGAGGATGCATATTGATTTTGCCATTATTGTGGGAGATGGTGATGATTTCGCCACAACTGTAGAAAATGTTCACGACTTAATGGCAATTCCTGGAGATATGAACAATTTTGTATTAACTGATTGTAAAACATAAATAACCCCCACTGCAGCAAACCTGCAGACTTAGCTAATTTACATTTTCCTGATTGAATTTTCACCAAAATATATCCTTATGAATTTAAACAGATGGTGTTTTTGTCCTCTGGGAACCTCAAAACAAATAAGTAAATCAATCCCGGGTCCAAGTTTTACAATGAGACCACCGGTAATAGATTATTCCCTACATGAAAATTTCGATAAAAGACAATATAAAGAAAATTCTTTTAAAAGCAGTCTGATTTAGTCTGATCCCGATTTTGTCACAAGATTAACATTTTTAACCTTACCCAACCCGCCTAATGTAAAAATGTCTGGCTTTCAGGCCTCTAGAAAATAATAGAGTTAAGAAATTTACCTGAAAATATCCATTATTCCACTAGTAATTGGCATTAAACTTTTGAACTATTCAATCCAATATTATTATCCAAATCAATCGAATATTAAATCAATTAGTATGGGTAGCACTGACAGTTATTATGTTGTAGGGTGTGACGTACCCTGCTATGCTGGGGGTGTGGGCGCGATGGGCTCCGCCGTGCGAGCGCAGTCGTCTGGTCATGATCACGCTGTCTGGAAGCTACTTTGGGACAGTGGGTGCCATGGCCGTGTCTGGAGCTATAGCGCAACACCTTAACTGGGCCTCGATATTCTACATTTTGGGTATTTTTTTTCTATGCTGATCTTAGTCAGTAACAGCTTTCATGTTATTCATTCAACTCTAATCCTTTGCTTATCCTTGTCTTAAAATAGCCACCCTATGTTGATGTGTTTGATAACTCATGAATCTAATTTAATGTATGTGTGAAGATGCTTTTTAGAAAATAGTTTTCGGATGGTCAATCCTCCCAATTATTTTCTTTGGCTACCACATTCCTGAGGCACTACAGGTACCTTCTGGATTCTAAAAGCATGGAAATGGTTTTAGTACTTTCCCAGGCATACTTTGTTTGTTTGGTTTCACAAAGCGTCAAAGCGAGTTTCATAACTAGGATATTTCTTTACTTGCATCTTTTAAAACAAATTCAGTGTAATTGCCTCACTAACTCAATAGCTGCTATTCAATAACCTCTAGAAAAAGACGACCCCACCAGCAACTTAACACACCGTTTATCAACTGTCGAATGAACTAGATCGTAAACTATTTCAGTTTTCTTAATTAATTTTAAATTTTTTACTACTACTACCATCTAAAGAAGCTCCCATGTTGGAGTGTTAAATTTATTCTGTTACAACATATTTTATATTTAATTTTATTACTGAAACTGATAAATATACAATAGATAATGTTTATATATATTAGTTGTTCTTATAAACAGACTTTTGTATTTTTGAAAGTATATCGTACTTAATACACATTTGCTTTTGACTGAAATTCAATCTCTGTGCTACCATTGGCTACGTCAGAGGGAATTTGTCAATGTATTACTTGAGGATTAGAAAGTCACTAATGATTTCAATGCCACAACTCACAACTCGGTAAAACCTTTAGTTTTGGCTTTTGGTACATTTAATTGAGTAAAAGTTGTTTCTAGTTGATGCTGAGTATGCCTGATAGCTATTGTAAATAATAGCGTATTCAAAATTGTTGTAGGCATGATAGCTTTGTTTTGGTGCTTCCTTTGGTGCTTCTTGATCCACGAGTCCCCACTCACGGACCCTTGGGTGTCGGAAGCTGAAAAAAGATATATTTTAGATTCTATCGGACCTTCGCTGAAAGCCAAGGTAAGCACATGATTGCCTTATATAATGCTTGCTTGTAGGCTGTTGATAGTGAAAGAAAAACTGAGCAAAACTTAACACTTTAAGCAAAAACCAATTACTTTAGACGTTACAGTAGGCTATCAACTTAGAAGACATTATGAAATACTTCATCATTTGTTTTAAGAATTTGTTGAAATTTTTTTTACCTTTAGCCTTTTGAATACCCGAAGACACGAGATTACCATGCAATCACGCAATCCTTTAGCAAAAGGCAAGCCTGAGTAATATTTCAGTTACTTAATTTTTAAAACCTAATTGATGCGAATTGCCAAACAAATTTTCTCATTATTAATGATAACAGTGGTAACTACTCTATTAGGATGTTCAGAAAAAAGCAACGTCCTAGAAGAAAATTAAAAAATAAATCATTTAACTTCCAATTTAACGTAAATATTCCATTGATGTTTTTTCACTACTAATACATTTAAAAATATCCTAAACAAGTATTGAAAATCAGTTTTCTTTTAACTTTACACAACTGTCAAACAATTTTCCTCATGCCAATTTGAAATATTAATAATGTTCTTTTTTTAAAAAACAGGGATTTTAGTTATATCATGTTTTCAATTGATTTGTAATCTCTATGAACACTAACAATCTATGAAATCTTTGTTTGGTTTTCTCTTCCACCATGTCAAATTTGAAGTATATAGAGAGCCCTTTCTAAAAATATGTTTTTAAATGCTTCTGGTGTTAAGGGAAAAACTATATTGTAAAACCTTTCTTCAGAGGCTCACGGTTCCGTGGAAGGGAGTTCTGACTTCAGCACCGTTTGCTGCCATTGTAGTTGCTCACTTCTGTGAAAACTGGGGCTTCTATACGATGCTGACTGAGCTGCCAACGTTCATGAGTGGTATGTGAAGGACATTTGTCTATATTCAAATATATATTAACAACTTAATCAATTAACTAACATTTTGGGGGAGTACATGAATGTATTTCACAGTTTGAGTCGCCTAATTTGAAATCTAGAAGTATCAGTCCAAGTGATAGATGAATTTCTTACCATTGTACAATCCAGAGGTAATAGAAATTAGAATTATAATACTGCACTACAGCCGTTTCAGAGATTACTTGGCGTGTGTGGTGTTACACAAAACTAAGTGATTGGTTTTACATTTAATATAAAATGTCTTCATGATGCAACATGATATGGAAAAATCGAACATCCATGGCATAAAATAAAAAGTAGAAACTTTAGACACTGGTTTGGTACGTGGGATTCGTTTCACAAAATCATACAAAGACGTTTTGTAGCGATTCCGTGAGTGCTGGTAATTTAAACACTCTAAAGTTTTTTGATCCTAAGTTAATTTCAGTACCAACAGCAGTTTCGTATCTGTAGACAGGTTCCACATGAAGGTGATGAGTGGCAACATGTTGGCAGCCCTGCCTTACCTTGTGATGGGTATTGTGGTGCAGTGCAGCGGCTTCCTGGCTGACTGGCTCCGTTCTGGCGGCCATCTTACCACCATGCAGGTCTGTATGCTAGTTATTATCCTGGTATTCAGAAGATCACTGGTTCGATCCTGAGAAAAGTCAGAAACTATTTGGTGGTTCGAAACTGGTCTCAGTTGACCTTGATCATTGAGTGCTTGGCTGAAGAAACAGCCGGTCTTAGTCAGTAACAAAACTGCACAAGGCATCTCACTCTGTTATACACTAGTTTTTGACTCATTTAGGTTAAAGTATGTCCTGTTGCATATCTATCTTAAATTAATTGGTAATGTTATGTAAAAAAATTATATTTACAATGCATGTAAATGTCCATGATAATAAATGATTTGATTTGATTTGATTAAATCAAGAGGGTTCCACCCACCGGTTGTTTACGACGTAAACAAGGTCCTACAAAAAAAAACCTCCTGACATTATTAAAGTGTTTATCGAGTTGAAATGAACTGTAAAATATTCACAAGATCCAAACTATGCATTGGCTGAACTGAACCTTGGTTTATTGTTTCATTAAGTTTTTACAAAATCCGTAAATTAGTGTTTTTCACATGCGATTTCAACTTCTAAATAATAGTTTAAAATTATTTTTGCTCCACCCACTGCACTCTGATATGTTAAGAGCACAAAAAGCACACACTCATTGGAAACAAATTAGTTTTAAAATGTTGAGAGCTTGTACCGTATAGGCATGTTCATGTTCAGGAGCATTAGCATTTTTAGCCACCATCTTGAATTGACCGGGTAGAACCCTTCTGGCAGAACCAGGTAGAAACACACCACTTGGTTTTAACTACATCAGTACTATTTGTTATCTGTGTGTAGGTGAGGAAGATGTTCACATGTGCTGGTTTCATCTGTCAGACGATATTTCTGATCGCAGCGGCACACTCTACCAGTGCCCTCGCAACTATTCTCTCCCTGACCATCGCCGTTGGCTTCGGAGGATTCGCCTGGTCTGGCTTTAGGTTAGTACAAGAAATAGGCAGATCTCTAGTGCTTGGAAAAAATTGTGATACTTACGTAGTTTGGAACTCCAAGAGAACAAATGTTTGGAATCAGGAATAATAGTCTACTTTACATGACAAAGACTATGTTTTGTAAATCAGTATGAGTTAGATCATCTTATAAATAGGATATTTTGAATAAGAATAGAGTTCTACTAATTTATCTGAGAAAATTATAAACCAATTCCATAGACCAATGGCTGCCATACCCTAAGAGAAATGCAACAGTTTCCTATTTAGAAGTTGAGAATTAGCCTTCCAGTACATTGCAGACTTAAGAAATGCTCTTAAATTTTATAGGCCTATAGAAAATGGTGGCCACAGTTGGCAACTCTGAAGATTACTCTAGTTTTTGAACTCTTTAACTGATATTTCTTGTCAATCTACTCTCTGGAAGAGTCCTATATTGTAACAAGATTTCAGCGTTATATTTTATGATCTTTTATTTTGTATCTATTAGTCCCCAGTCTTAAATTTTTCTAAAGTAAGCAGAACTCTATCCATTAATAAAAAAATCCTAATCAGCCTTTTGGATTTCCTTTAAAATGTTAACTTTGTTGTTTTGTACCTGTAATCCAGCTTCTAGGAGGTCACGAATTGTGGATATTTATAGGCATACACTGTGGATGCGATACTCCCTGGTGTGGATTAACGTCCGCACGAGTGAATACTACGGCTATCCGCAGTACTATCCTGATAATTAGAACAATTTGTATATACCAAGGCAAAAATGTGGTTCGTATTCCACTATAAACTGTAGGTCCCTTATTTGCCATTAGCTGTATGGGCTATTAATTAACAGCTGTGTCAAAGGAATGTTGACCTTAGTCACTAATAAGACTACGAGATCGCGCCACTCATCCTACACTCATCTCCATTCATACCTGGCTTAATATACCTACTTTGTATGGTCGCTATTAGAAAAGAAAGTATTAAAGTTAACTAAACCACTTGCGTTTCCAGTGTGAATCTGTTGGATATTGCACCGCAGTTTGCGAGTGTTTTAATGGGGATATCAAACACTGTTGCTACCATCCCAGGACTGCTGAGCCCGCTGTTGACTGGATATGTTACCAAAGATAAGGTAGGCTACTGTCTGTAAATCACACTAGGTAATTTACAGTATTTTGAAAAGTGAAATCAAGTCAATTCAATCCTAAAGAAAACTTATCCAAGTTATCCAATACGGTAACTCAGTTTTAGCATATTGTGCTGATGAGTAAGACCTTGCTGGTTTGAAATCGTGATATTAACAGCCTGCACTACATCACTTTGGTAACTACTGGCTTACCTGTGTGATCCATACAGTATTGTAATGTCAGTTTGCTCTTTCCTTAGATCACCATACAGACCAGTTGGTCTATAATGTAGTCAAATCTATAATCAGGTTACAAAAATGCATTATCCGTATTATGACCAACTACACGTAGTTCATGCAAAAACCTTTTTCGAAATTTAAAAATCCACATCCTAACAGGATAGTACATTTTGTAATCACTAAACTACATTCATTCAGCTAAAAACGACCTACCAGAAACTATTCAAACCAACCATAGATATAATACTCGTAATGAAAACAGTTTTAGATTTCCCAGGCACCGCAGCAGCAATTTTTTAACTCTTTATGAAAAAAGTACGCTATATGCTGGGCTGAGGCTGTACAATGTGCTCCCTGCAAGTTATAAATTTTTAAATGAAAATAATTTCAAAGATAAAATAGGTGAACACTTAATTGACAGAGCCTTTTATTCAATTGTAGATTTTTACAATACCCCTTCAGTGTAGAATAGTTTTATCATTCAATTTTGTTAATACACATTATCTTCTTGATTCCTATTTTATTTTTTATATTAAGACATTTTCATTCAGACAATGCACCTATTCAAATAAAATATGTATATGTCTATAATGGGGGTCGAGTACAATACGTCCAGTGGCGTCCCCCATCTTGGGACTACAATAGTAGTATAGTAACAATAAATTTGTTAATTTAATAAATAACAGTAAAACAATAAATTATTATTCTAAAATGTTCTAACCAGATGGCGAGCGAGTGGAAGCTGGTGTTCTACTTGTCCGCCGCCATTTACCTGGTCGGAGCCATTGTGTACGGCCTGCTAGCCTCGGGTAAGGTACAGCCTTGGGCGAGTGTGACGGGCGAGCGAGTCGCTATACTGGACGACCACTCATCTTCCGAGGATCTGCTGTCCGTTAACTCCCGCGACTACCACACCACGACCGCCACCGCCACTGCGCAGGAGTGATACCAGGAGATATCTAGTCAGTAATGTGTGTCTCTAACCTCTTTCTCCACAGTCCACAATTAGTTGGGTGGCGTAAAATACCTACGGTAAAGTCCCGTTAATCTTGCATCTTGTAACAAAATCTTTGACTTTAGATGGTTCCCATTCTCTTGCTAAAGAGAATGAAACTGGACATAATTGAATTTAGATATCGACAAACTCTTCTGATACGCATTACTGATTTCTGTTAAATACGCAAACTCTTCAACCAAGTCAAACTGATTGGATGTCTTATGGCAGCATCTTTTATGCCACATCAACCGTCTCGGTAACAAAAAGTAAGGGATAAAATCTAATTTTAGACATGCAACTCTAGTGTCCCAACTATATTCTATCTGAATACAAAATAGGAGAAAGCAGGTCCATTTATTTAGATGAGATGTTTACTTCTGTAATTTAAAAGTGAATAGCGATACAATTGGCTGATAATTATTATTCACTTTTAGATATCGCTCAATACTTACGCATTTTCTGTAATCCAGATCTGTCAAAGTCCTAAACAGGCTGGAAAAGCAATTTTCTACCTATTACTGCTGGTAAAATCACTACTATCACTTCACTATATCACTATTTAAGATGGTGACACATTAGAGGGGGCCCTAATCCGCATTGTGTCTCGAATCATTTCCAAATGGCTTAGTTTTCCTATTATCAAAGAAAACTAACTGTACCTCTCAATATGTGAAATCAAAGCAAACACATTTTCTAAGAAAAGGTAAAACCACTCGAAACTACCTTTGACATTTTGGGCTTTTGTAACCCCCCTCGCAGCCTATCAGCCTAAGGCTATTAGCAAATGCTAACAGATTAAGAACACCTGTTTCTTTTTATTTCCTCTGGCCTAATGGTCACCTTTCATAGGAAATTCAACATCCTCTGATCCAAAACTGGACAATCAGCCACAAGTGTTCAGAGGTCCTTCTTGTTGTACAACATTTTCCTTGGTCAGTTTGTCTAAGTTATAGGTCTATATGCTGATGTCCCGTGTTTTTTTAAAGCTTATTATACAATTACTAAGCGAATAATATGTAACCAGGGGGGAGGGGGGTGCTTTGCGAAAATTGTGCATTTTAGTATGTGGCCAAAACTTGTTTTCGAGGCAAAACAAATCCTGCAAACCCTTTTTACCTTTCAAAGATTACTTCGTTTCGTAACTGAACAAATTTACATTTAAGAAAAACTTCATCATATAAAAAAGTCGGTTTTCGTCATACTGCAGCAAAACAGATACAATTTTTAATGCATGCGTTGCAGGTCTAAAGTAGCTCCAGGGGGTAAAAATGATTTTTAGTCTCTAGGGAGTAAAAATAATGTTTAGTCTCTATGGTGTAAAAATCAGCTGTTCTAAACTAAGCAGTTATATTTAGATTGTGGCAATCGTATCGATCGAAATTATTTATCGATTAATGATTTATCAGGTAAGGTGTTAACCTATTATTGTTGATCGCTCGACATATCGATGGTATAATGTACTCTAACACAATCCTAATAGACGAAATGATTTAATCACTTACTAAACAGCTGCTTATTTGCATTAGCAGAATTGAAAACAAGCTACATACAAGTAGTTTTGTTTTCTAGCTTAGTTTGTTAATTAACAATCCAATATGACAAAAAATATAGTTCACCTCACGGGCAAAATGTACCATCACCTCGGCTTCGCCTCGATCGTAAAACTTGACCTCAGGTGAAAAAGAGTCACTTTAGGTCCTAGTATTCCATTTCATTCGTATGGCTTCACAAAAAGTCAAAAGCGTCTAATGGCCGCCTGGATTTAAACCTAGGCTCTCTAAACTGAAGTTCTGATCCTTAACCTCCTCTACACTAGAGTTATTTTAGTTTATAAGCTATCCGTATTGTGGCTTGTAAGGAATTGATATGCCATTTACTTGAAAATTGGTAATATGCCAACTAGTTGTGGATACAATACTTAACCTGTGTAAGCCTATCCCTGCCATATGCGTCTTTCCCTTGTATGATTTAGTTTGGCTGCCAATCTGTGTGTGTTCTTTAGTTCATCATTAAGGAACAAAACTAATAACTTTTGGGATGGTAATGGGGTGTAACGGTCTGATTCAATAGTTTTAGGAGTTTATTGAGGATGTGTTGGCTGTTTCATTTGGGTTTTGTTTTTGTACAATATTGTTAACCCAATGTGTGAGCATGTTTAGGTTAAATATGTTTTTTTATGTTTGTAGTTATTTTACTGGTGGCTGTATTCATGTGATTATTATAAGCTAACAGTAACAGCTGTTTAATTTGTGCACAGTTTTTAAAGAAATGACACATTCTTTCGTAAAGCACATATAGAATTATATTTTCTTATTCTCTAAATTAGATAACTATTTATGTCTACTTAAAGGTTTTGTCTAGTTATGTTTGTGTGTTATTTTTCACACACATATATATATATTTTATATTGTGTTACAAAGTTTAATTTTGTTAAATGCACATGATCAATTTAAATCAAATATAAGACTTATATCAAGAGCTTCTATAGAATTCATAAGCACTCGTATGTCTATGGTGAAAATAATCTAATTTGTAAATATTTTTGAAATATTCTAACTTATAACTTGTGCACATGTATTATATTACTTGCACTGTTACACATTAAAATCCTTGCAAATAGACTTAAAAGTTATGGTGCAATAGTAACAAGTTAGTTTATAAAATTGTATTTACTTTAACTTAAAATATTACTGAACGTGAAGATTTTACAAAAAAAGGTACAGAAAGTAAATAAAAAAAACGTCTTATAACACTTAAAACATATATTTACGCTTATACTGTTACTCACAAGACGGTAAATATACAAAAAAGATGGTAAGTGGTGATCGATTTCGATTGGACACTCCAATCATCATCAGACCCAATAGGCGAATGGGACCCATCAGAATCAGACCCATCAGAATGGGTCTGATTCTGATGGGTCCCATTCGCCTATTGGGTCTGATGATGATTGGAGTGTCCAATCAAAATCGATCACCACTTACCATCTTTTTTGTATATTTACCGTCTTGTGAGTAACAGTATAAGCGTAAATATATGTTTTAAGTGTTATAAGACGTTTCTTTTATTTACTTTCCGTAAATTTAATAACACGTACAATGCTGATCAAGAAGTTATTTAAAAAAGGTACAGTAAAACACCAACTATCCGAACTTTAACTATCCTATTCACCGATTATCCGAATCACTCACAGAAAGAATTAAAAAACAACTTAAAATCACAGTAATAAGAATCGTTTTTAAAGAAGGCAGAAGCAGTGATTGCTGAAAAATCCAAAAACTTTCTTGCTGTTGTTACCTCATCATTGTCTCCCGCACTAACAGAAAATCATAACCTCCATGATCGTGACGAGAACGTAAATTTTTGATTAATAATTGCTGTTTATTTATTCAAAAAGTAATGTTCATAACTTGATACCTAAGTAAAATATAAAATGCAAATAGCAACAAAAAAATATGTGATACACCTAACTGACTGTCATCGTTGTCATAATTAACAGATGATAATGTTAGTGTTTAATGTATGTATTTTAAATTGAACGTCTTTTGATTTTACTTGTAGCATGACTTGTAAAATAAATATAAAAATTACGTACCTATTTGGTGGCCTAAAAGTAAAATCTTATCAGTCTATGTTAATTTAGTGTTTGTAATGTTTTAACTTCCAGTACAAGAATATACAAACTACATACAGTATAACAATTTTAGGACTGAGGTAGATATCCTTCCTTATAAAAAAATTTACCAGCACCATTTCCAAAGTGACTAACATTATTTGCCTGTTTTTTATTTTACTAAAACCAATGGGCTAGGTGTAAAACTACATACCAAGGAAAGTAACAGAACATTTAATAAAAAAAATCATTTTAATGCATTTTCAACATTTTAAATGACTAATTGTTAATTTACTGGGTCAATTACTGGGTAAAATTACAATGCTCAATCAAAATAAGAACTGAATCAATAGTTAATTTTATTTTCTTATGCATGTATTTTTCTAACTTACATATATCAAATACTATTTACTGTTTGTTATGATGTTGCTATATTATAAATGTCTACAATCAAAATAACATGTAGAAGTAGGTGTTAGTCAATTTAATTTCGCTCAAATAAAATATTTGACACAAACTGTTGTCTGAGATTTTAAATGTTTTGTGTAAGAAAATAATTTAAGTTTTTATTTCCCTAAACAAAGTAAATGTAATATATGGAATATTATAATAAAATTTGTTTAATTAATTAAAACCTCATAGTTTTCATTTTACTTTTTGTAATAACATCCAAAAGTATGTTCAAAGTCGAATCCTAATAGTGTTTATAAACAGAATATTGAAAGTTTTGTAGTATATCAATAGGGTTCTAAATTTTAAAACAAAAATAGAATACCAAGGTAGCTAACTTATATTGAAAAAAATTTTGTATAACTAAAATTTTTTGTGGTTCTTTCAATGCTAAATTGAATCAGAAATACAGTAATTTGAATTATGTTTAAAATTAGAATCATAATGTTAGGTTTCATAGCTTAATTTAATATTTTGATGTTTAATACTTTTTAATATTGGTTTAATATTTTTCAAGCGTTGAAAATTGGATGATGTTGTTAATAATAAAAGCCATTTTTGATTACTTTAATTTTCTTAATTGAGTACTAAATTAGAACCGCCAAACCAAATTTCACATTTGTAAAAGTACCTATTGTTATTGAAATTTATATAAATTAGTGATTTTAAAGTGGTATATTTTTAGCTTTAGTATATATAGATTTTAATAAATTATTTAGCATTGACAGAACTACTTAAATAGGTAGGCCTACTAAAAAGTGTTTCGGTTTTAACACCATAACCAAATACAATAAAAATAAACATCTCAAAATTGATCAGTTAAAATAAATCATTAGGGTATATTTCATAAATTCAATAACATAAATATGCCAACCATGTTTTATGTTACCTCCTATTGTACCTGTGATAGTAGTTAATAACAGTTTTGTTATGCAGGGTTTTTTTAGTTTTAGTATTATCATGTACCTGCTACTCAATGTTGTATGAGTAAATAACATTCTTCGTCAAGCAAGAGTTTGTATTTAATCCCCAAGTTTTGAGTGTGTGAGTGATTGTTAACATCTTTATAGTAAATAACCAGGGCATTCATTAAAATCAGAACAACCTTACACCTTACTCTAATAGACTATTTTTATGCCTCACCTTCACGTCCTAGGACACTAGGTTCTAGCACAGAACTGTGTTTACACTTTAGTTCAGACTAGTTCTAGAGGGTCGTGATAATATCACATAGATAAAACGTATTGGTGATTGCAAGGGTTTGAACCTGGGACCTCTGGCTCTGAATTCACGAGCTCTACCACAAGACCAGCTCGCTCCATACACTAGTACACCAAATCCACAGTTAACCACAACTTTATATCAGGGTAACACCATTAACACCTAATAGATTTCATTTAAACTGAATTTGAAGGCTTATCAGCAATCGGACATGTACTTTCTCCCATTAGCTTGTCAACCGCCCTTATTGTGGTATATGGGATTATTGATTATTCATGGGAAAATCACAAAAGTTGCAATAACTTTTGAATCACAATTTTGACATTGATCGAGTTAAAAGCACTAAATCATACTAAATTATTATCAAAATTGTTGGGTTTTTTTTTGAGAAAATTTGATTTTTTGTTTTTTTATGGAAAAATCACTATTAAAAATCTAAATTTCAAAAAAGTTAAAAAAAATACCCCACAGATGTAGTCTAAAGCTCTGTACACACCCACACATACAGACTATGACACACATACAGACATCACTTAACAACTTTTTTTGCGTTCAGGGGGACCCAAAACAGATATATCCACTCGAAACTTAAACTCGGAAATGTTGACGAAAACAATACACTTTCTCCATACTATTTATAGGCGAAGAGAGTTACAGTATGAATCTCAAGAAAGCATTACTTCAACTGAAAAGTATTTTTAAGTCACTGGGAAAAGAGCTGGTCTAGAGTTAGAGCACAGCACTACAATCCTAGGTCCTGGGTTCAAATCCTGACAATCGCTAATGGTTTTTACCTGTGTGATAATGCCACAAGACTATGCCTAGTCTGAAATAATGTGTAAAAAAGGCGAGACAAAACAAAATTATAAATCACTAATTAAGTGTGCTGCAACGAATCGTTTCTTACAGATAAGGATAGTATTTGGCACACAGTTTGGCCAACACCCAACCATCCAAGCTACAATTGCACTCGTAAACATTGCATCTATAAAACCTATGTTGAAATACATCCAATCAAAATGTGAAGAGAAGTTGTATTTATTGAAGATACTGAACATATATTAATTTATAATATGTTAGGTATAGTATCAATAGAGGTTGAACAACTCATTTTTTCAAAGTTTAAACTAACCTTTGTTTGGGAAATTTGATTGGTTGTTAAATTTAAAAACTGATTTGCTCAAGTTTAAGAATGTGATAGAGCACAAGAGCCTAGTTTTAAAGGATTTTTGTGAGGATAATTGGCTTACCTGAATGGGAGAGAGTCGTTTTGGCACAAGAAACTAAAAACACTATACAATAAAACAACAATATTTTAATTGTCTTAACAACTTAACCAACTTTGTCAATGACAGTTTAGTTCTAAATTGAGTGTTTGTCGTGAGGTTTTGTATTTCTTATGCCAGAGTGAATACTTTCCTATTCAGATAAGCCAGCTATATTTACAAAAATCCTCAAATACTAGCCTACTTTATTTTAAATAACATCAGGGATTTTAATAATGGAAAGCAATGTAAAGTGAGACCTGTTACGACAACTGTCAATTAAAACCTGTATTAGTCTAATGATTTCAAAAGTTGTTTTTTATTAATAGAGTATAGACCTCTTTACTGTAATAGAGTAGACCATATGGAAATGGTACAATAAGAATTGAATGCTGTAAAATTTCTATAGAGTTAAATGAATACCTTTTGAGTTACTATTTCCATTTGGAATTTTTTGCTGTTTACTCTTGTAATTTATCAATTAAAAATATTAAAGGCCAACATAAAAAACAAATATCGACCTAATCATATTCTGGAAAGAACTAATAGCTTCAAACTTCAAACACCAGAGGAATAAAATGGTTGAGGCAACTTCTAGAAATACAAAACAAAAACATTTTCGTTACAGTATTTTTTTTTATCAAGGTAAGTAAAAATTTCTAAACCATCCAATTGATACAGAGATATGCCTGTATACCCTGAATGATATACTTTATGTTCATCCACTATGTATGTACCTAACTATAAATAATTATCATGCGGTAATGATTAATCAATGTCAAAATAATCTGCATGATTCATGAAATTTCTCACTCTTTTTGGCTCTCTAATGTATTAATCACTTCTTTAAATAACCAGATGATGTAGTAATTTATTTCTACAGTGTGAGTCATGTATCACTAACTTTTTCTATTTTCTCTAATAGCAAAGATTAATAAATAAAAATGTCTAATACACCATGGTTTTGTTGGCGAAATCGCAGCAAAGAAACTGAATCCAAACAAGAGTGATTGACAAGTCAATGTTTTTAGCCTTGACAGTAGTTCAGGACAAAGTCAATGTCAGCAGCTAGGACAGTAGTCGCAGCCTCATCTGATCATCAATCCTTATCGGAGAGTCGCGGGATAATGAGTGACTCTTTTCTTCTGAATTGAGGTACGCTTTTACTACATAAATTTTTTTAAATAAATTAATTTAAAAATTTTTTATAATTTATTTGAAATAATAGTTTTATTTAGAATCTCTACTCTTTAAAATTTCTTCTTGAAATTTTAAATGTCTCATAAATAGAGGATTTTTTGGATTTTTGTGATTTAGTTAATTTATTTCAGGTGTAACATTTTATTTTTAATAAAAGCAAAAATTGATAAAGGACATCTTTTTAAAATGGATAGTGTTGAATGGCTATAAATAATAGTCATTTATTTGTTTTGTATTATAGGTAAAAAATATTTCGATGGATGGTTTTCATTTAGAAATTTAATAAATTGAAGATGAAATACAGAATGTCAATATTTAATACTAATTAGTAATTTATATTGTACTAAGGACTTAGCTGTTAAAAATATTGTTCATTTTCTTTTATTAATTCAATTGATTCTTGTCCATGTTCTTTCATAGTATATACATAAAAATCTATTAACCAAAATATGTTTTCAGAACTTTGAAGAGACAAGAGTCAATAATATATTCAAGTAAGTACAGTAAAAAACATCTAAATTTTTCCTCAGTTATATTATTAAAATTTAGTTTAGTTTAGGATGATTACTAATAAATCCTTATGTTACTAAAATAATTTAAATTGAAGCCTGACCCTCATATTATACCTCTTAATTTTTCTTTTAACTATAAAACCCTTGTTTATTTACAATTTTCAAAGAAAATCTTTATAATATGTACTCATAAAAGTGTTTGCTGAAGGCTGAACTTTTAATGGTAACTTTTGTTTAAGAAACTGGCTTATTTAACCTCTTTTTTTACAAGTAACCCTGTTGTTGCACTGTAGCAATTAAGTTTCAACCTATATAGCATTACGAGAAAGTCTTGGCGTTATCATTCAACGGATGATAGAGATATATGCCAAGAAGACCTTTAAAATAAAAATTACTTTGGTCCTTATCCATCTTTTAAGAAATTATTAATATTTAAATTCATAGTTTTCTTGTCTTCCAATGTTACTGAAAGAAAGTGATGACATTTCATTTTTTTAAAACTGATTGATGCCATTTGTAATACACAGTATCTCTATTTTTAAGTTCAATCTTTTTTCGAATAAAGAAGTCAGGGGAATGATAATAGTCAGTAAAAACTCTTTTTCGTATTTATACATCCTCAATAACATTGCATGAATCAATAGTGTTTTATTTTAATTTATACAGGCCTATGAAGTAGATTTAGTAAAACATTTTCTAAGGAGTAAACTGGTATGTTTATCACATATTCTTGCATCTAAACTACCCATTTACGTTTCCTATTTTTATGGATTTAGGCAGATGATTAAAATATAGGTTACCTTTGTGTTCTTGCGTGTTTTCTTAAGTGAAATTTTTATTTCACCCTATGCATTTTGCCAGACTGTGTGGTGTCTTCGTAAGTTAAATCTTCTCATCACTAACACTATAGTCTACTACTAATATTTACTAAAATATTTACACTCGCGGTCACTGCTATTGTGGTCAAGTAGAGCAAACAATATGACGACGGACACAGGCGAAGTTGTGGTGGAAGTTATTTCTCCCTTGGTTTCATTTCTTGGACTAGGGGCGTTGGAAATAAAATTTGGGCCATTTGGCAGTTGAGGGTAGTTTTTGACTTTTCTGGTTTATGGTCGTGCCAGTGCTTTGATCTATGTAATGTTGTCAGTTTGTCGCTGTGTTTCCAGTTTTATCAGTTTCAATGCCATATAGTAATTTGAAAATTTTAGAGCTGGTGTAGTCTTATTTTTTGTTTAGTAGAATGTTTGATACATTTATATTTACATGTTTGTATATATGGTAGCCTTATCTGTACTTTAAACTAAAGGTTTTGAGCTGGGTTTTGGGTTTTGTGTTTTGTTATAAGAAGATCATTTCAGAAGACCACCGGAATATGCTACACACACTGGCAAAATGCGTAGGGTGACACAACATTTTGCTACGCATTTTGCTAAAGAACTCAGGAGGCAACAATAACTATAATTTAATTCCTAATTTTTATCGTAATTTAAATTTAAAGACTTGAGAATCACATCCAGCAATCCGTTCTAAAGGTTGAGTTTGTTTCAGGATGGCTGCAGCAGAGATTGTGATGAAGAGAGATGACCTCAACATTGCGTGGGGCTTTAGGCTTACTGGTGGAGCCGACCTTGGCACTCCTTTCTATGTTGTCAAGGTAAGCAAGACTTAAAACACACTCCCTCGTCGCGGTTAAGGATGTAACATAGCGCCCAAGAGTATGTATTGTTGTTAGGATAGCAGGCTCACCTGAATGTGAAAGAATCAACCTTGGCTCAAAAAACATAAAACTTACACTATACACAAAAAATATATTTATTTAGACTTTGGAATTTAAGGCTCTTTCTTCCCAACCAATTTTTTATTTGTTAAAAAATGCCATCAGTAAAATATTTTATATTTTTTATAAAGTGTAAAATGGTCTGTATTTCTTGTGCTGGAGTGGACTATTTCCCATTCATATAAGCCTACTATCATTGACTATTTTCTGCTATCCTAATAATAGTATGTTTCATCATAAAGGTGTAAAGTGGCTCTTTTCAACCCGAGCTTGGCTGAGGTCGGGAAATGAGCGAGGGTTGAAAAGAAACTTGCCTGTGTGACGAACCATATTTTTGTCATATTGCACTATTTTTTAGGCAAACTATGTTACAAACACAAAAATACTTTTGTGTAGAGATAACCTCTCAAAATGTCTTCCAACTTGTTTTAAATTTTGCTAATGCGAAAAAGCAGCGCTGTTTGTTTATTAAGTGATTTAATAATTTTGTCTATTAGGATTGTGTTAGTGTGTATTATACTATCGATTTGTGGAACTAATGAGAAGAATGCAACAATTAGCTACTACCGATACATAATTTCAATACATATGTTTGTTTACAATAGAAGTTTACAACTGAGTGACAAATTACTTTTACTCCGTAGTTGCTAAAAAAGCTTTTTACTCCCTAGGGACTTTGGGGGGTTGGATTGCTCTTTAGGGACTTTGGACCCATAAGGCAGGTAGGCCTATTCAAAACCGCTGTTTTTACTGCAATCTGACAAAAAATCTTTAATACACTCCCTGATAAACACCTGAAGGTACCCTAAAAGACCTTCAAATGGAGTTGCCTTGCTAATTTTTTTAAATTTACATTTGGTTAGAGCTGAGCTATAAGCAGACACAATCATGTCTACATTAAAACATGGTAATGATGATGACAAAGACTGAAACTGCCAAAAACTGCAATGTTTATGTTCTGCAGACAGCTCGTTCAGCTTGCCAACAGTTAGTATCCAACCTAGTACTGTGTAATTTTCATTTCATATGTCACTGTTTGGCTGATCATTCTACGTTAAATTTATTGAGCGGAGCGAAACGAGCTCTTTGGGATCGGCTTCAATGCAAACTCTCTAACTATTTCAAGTAGGCATATCAATTTCAACAAATCACAAATTATTTGCTAAATTTTGTTCAAAATAATATTTCAATATTCAAATAATAATATTCAAAAATATATTTCTATAAAGTAATTAGCCTATTGTTTCACAATCTATACATACATACATTTAGGCTTAAAACGACCTCAGATAACCGGAGGGCTCGGAAAACAGTGGCTATCGGATAATCGAGAGTGTGTACCATGAAATCACTTAATAAATGTTTGCAGAGGTTTCCATTACCTTACCAAAGTCAGCTCCTGTAAAAGCTTTACATTTATTTGTTTGAAGATAACATTTGGTTTAGGGTTGTTTGAGTTGTATAGACAGAGTTTTTGGACGGCGGTTGGTGAGTTGGAATAACTGATTGCACCAAAAATAGGTTTTCAGCGAAAGTGCTTTGAAAAAGTAAAGATTTAAAAGATTAAAAGATTTACTTTAAAGATTTATTAAGTAGTTGAAACATAATTCTAGATTATAAAACAGTGAATTTGATCAAAATTTCTTAAAATACTGTGCTTGGAGGGTTCTTTGTTTTCACTCCACACTTTTCAAATTGATTTATTGTTAAACAACAAAATTTCATTATTCATTCTCCTTGTAGAGTTCAAGATTATAAAATGACTAATTTGAGAGAGGATTTTTTTGAAAAGTTTTACTCTTTAAATATTCACGAAACACTTAGATCCTTACAAATTCAGTTAGTTCTAGAACTGAAACCCAGAGAAATCATGGACAGAAAAGAATTTATTCAGAATCGGTGTTAGAACAGTAGGAAATTGGTGTTCGTGTTCATTTAAAAAAAGAAAATCTTTGTGGTGAAGCTAGTTTCAACATCTCTGTTAATAAACAGCAAAGGTTAATAAACAATAATTTCTGAGTTACGAAGACGAAAAAAGTTTTTTCATACCAGTGGGACCATTTTTGGAACAACTTTAAACAAACATTTGTCAAGTTATAGCCTAGTTAGCTTCCGAAACTATTAAAAATCATCAACAATTACATTTAGAGAATTACTGCTTTAGGAAGTGTAAAGGTGCCTATTAGCCTGGTTTTTTTGTTAATAAAAAATGTCAAATGATGATTTAGATTTTGAATGATATGTAAAATAATTTGTATTCCGTCTTAAACTAAAAATAGAAAACTGAAATTGGATTACCCTTGATTATTATAAATCACCATTTTTACTTAAAGAAAAGATTTTTTTTATTCATATTTTAATAAATTCAGCCCTGTTTATTTGTTTTTCTTCTCTATTGCCTTAAAAAATGTTGTAAGTAAGGTAACGTTTATCATTTCAACATGTCGTAAATTTTTTTTGTCTTTTGTTATTTAGTTTTAATTGAAAGCCTCACAAAAAAACGAATCCTAAAACTGAACCAAATCAGTTTGACAACTACTACTGTACGTGTTTACTTCATGTCAATTCAAATTTTGATAGGATTGAAATTATTTTGACCTGACAAAAACCTTAAAATTTACTACTCAGTATAAATTTATCATAGCCACTATTTTCCCAACTATAACTAACTTATGTAATAAAAATAAAAATTTGCTACATAATGTACTATAAAGTACATATAAACACCTTATTTCTACCAATGAGTGTGTTTAGTAGGAACTGCTCCTCTACATGAAAAGTGGGATGAGCTATATTTGGGGGGGGGGGGGGGGGTAAGCATCAGTGTGGTCGAATAAGTTGACAGTTAATATTATTTTGTATTACCGATTTGTTTCAATTCTTCGATAAGGTGAATTACTATGATAAATAGTGAAATTTTTGCTTTAGACATGAAAATCTATAACACTGCTACAAAACTATATCATTCGTCTGTGTAAACTAAAGAGTTGAAAAAATTTCAGCTTGGTAAACATTGGCAGGGAATTATCTCTCGTGAATTACATCGGTAATGGTAACTGCTACTAGGCGTTAGCCAAAGTTAAACAGAAATAGCTAATCTGTCGAAGGTTGTGTCAGCCGTAGAGCAGGAAGGATTTAAACTTGGCCTATGTTCAGGTATCTGTAGAAGGTTGTCTCTGTAGGCTGTGTGCCTAACATCGTCAATTGCATCTGCCAATGGGAATACCTACGGGGTTGACAAGATTATAAAATGTAGTATAATTGAATAGATATGACAGAAATCGTCCAAAGACTTTTGACGATTAGATTTTTTATTGTGTTACTATTGTGATGATTTTTTTTTCTTTTAATGTAAGAAAACATTTGGCAGTTTTCATGCAGTTTGTAGGATAATAAACTTTGAGTAAATGATACGTCAAAGGACTTTTGACAACCTTTCAATTGTTTATGGTATCAATCTTGTGGTGAAATTTTTCCTTTGAATCTCAGAAAACACTTGGCTATGATGTCAAGCAGTTTGTATGATTATAAACTTGAAACAATACCTCAAAGGACTTTTGATAAAGCCATAGTTGTAGCCATAGTGAGGACATGCCGTTTGTAGAATGTACAATTGAACTCGCTAAATGACTTTACAATATTATTGTACTTTTCCCTTTTATCTCTTGAGGTAGGCTAATTGAAAGAAATGGAAATTATTTGTACAAGAGGCATGTTATTAGTTGTTAACAATTGAACACTCCACTATTGGGTCAGATGATGATTGGAGTGTCCAATTGAATTTGATCACCACTTAACACCTTTTTTGTATATTTACCGTCTTGTGAGTAACGGTATAAGCGTAAATATATGTTTTAAGTGTTATAAGACGTCTCTTTTATTTACTTTCCGTAAATTTAATAACACGTACAATGCTGATTAAGAAGTTATTTAGTGAAACAATTTAAGAAATTAAGTTACGCAATGTGTCATCTTAATAGCTAATTGCAATACTGAACATAAAAAATATATATGACTAGGATTGTTAAATTTTATTCAAAAAAACAACTAAGCCTAGGCTATCTAAAAAAACTTTGTTTTAGTTATGGTTTGTTAAAATTATTTTTGGGGGTTTTACAAATATTCGTAGAGAGGGAACATGTTTTTATAATCAATATTTAAAACTGAATTTTGAAAATACATTGCATAGTATTATTATGTATATAAGTATGTATATGTTTAAAAAATATATAATAGGACATATAACTTATTTGGTGTTTTTTATATTATGTAAAAACATATTAGTTTCTATGATACTTTATATTGTCTTCTAGTAAAATTAAAACATTTCAGATTTTAATTCCAATTCTAATTAGTTGTGATATGTAATCCTAGAATAGTTATTAAGATCTGACAATCGTCTTAACTTTAGATTGAAAGTTGAGTCACAGAAAATATCAATTAACCTTTATACAGAGTGTCCCGTAACTTAATTGTCACGTAATTTAATTTAAACTGTTTTTATTTGTCATAGCTATTTTGAGAGAACGGCTGGGCTTAGAAACTTGGTAGAGGTGTCTAAAGAAAGGTCTTGGTCTGTAGATGAGCCATTTAAAGAGAAACTAGGTAAACTTTCTTGGGGTTCTGCCCCAGAGGCCTTTAAAGTTCCCTCAGCAGATTTGTTTATGTTACGACCATATGGATAATTTTACACTACAGTACTTTTAATGCACCAGCTGTTAATATTAAAATTGTATTCAAAGTCAAGTTTTATGACCATTTTCTGAAACTGTCAAAATTAAATGTTTATATCTCTATAAATAAAATTACAGTTTTGTCTGTACATTGCATAGAATTGTGCAGTTTTTAGTTATTTTTACGTTTCATAGCATAAGAAA